GCTGCATCGGCTCCTGAGCGTCCGATCATCGCGCCGGCTCATGAGAGGCCGATCATCCTGCCGGCGCCATAGAGACCGGCCGACCACCCACTGGCTCCAGACAGACCGGCCGGCCGACCATCCCGCCGGCTCCATAGAGACCGGCCGACCATCCCGCCGGCTCCATAGAGACCGGCTAACAACCCCGACGGCGCCATAGAGACAGGCCGACCATCCAGCCGGCTCCATACAGACCGGCTAACAACCCCGACGGCGCCATAGAGACAGGCTGACCATCCAGCCGGCTCCATAGAGACCGGCCGACCATCACGCCGGCTCCATAGAGACCGACCGACCATCACGCCGGCCCCATAGAGACCGACCGACCATCGCGCCGGCTCCATAGAGACCGGCCGACTATCCCGCCGGCTCCATAGAGACCGGCCGACCATCGCGCCGGCTCCATAGAGACCGACCGACCATCACGCCGGCTCCATAGGGACCGACCGACCATCGCGCCGGCTCCATAGAGACCGGCCGACTATCCCGCCGGCTCCATAGGGACCGGCCGACCGTCACGCCGGCTCCATAGAGACCGGCCGACCGTCACGCCGGCTCCAAAGAGACCGGCCGACCGTCACGCCGGCTCCATAGGGACCGACCGACCGTCACGCCGGCTCCATAGAGACCGGCCGACCGTCACGCCGGCTCCAAAGAGACCGGCCGACTATCCCGCCGGCTTCATAGAGACCGGCCGACCATCGCGCCGGCTCCAAAGAGACCGGCCGACTATCCCGCCGGCTCCATAGAGACCGGCCGACCGTCACGCCGGCTCCATAGAGACCGGCCGACCGTCACGCCGGCTCCATAGAGACCGGCCGACCGTCACGCCGGCTCCATAGAGACCGGCCGACCGTCACGCCGGCTCCATAGAGACCGGCCGACCGTCACGCCGGCTCCATAGGGACCGACCGACCGTCACGCCGGCTCCATAGGGACCCGCCACGCTGGCTGCAGACAGACCTGCCGACCATCCGACCGGCTGCAGAGACCGGCCGGTGTGATTTGTCTGAGAGAAGGCGTTGCCCGATCCCACTTGAGAATGTAAATTGGTTTGTGGATCCTCAGATGCCATAAAGTTCCGCCCACGGATACTGATGACCTTAAGCCCTGAATACAAAACAATTTGCGCCTGCCTGATGGTGATCTACATTCTTGGTTAACGACAGGGATGCTAGTCAATGAAGCAGTACTGGGATGGAAAAACCGTCGGCTCTGTGGAGGAAAGGCGTAATACGCACTGTTCATAAGCGCAGTTCACATAAAAAAAATGGGTTCGGCCGAATTGCAGAATCGACGAAAACAGTTTCTTGCTGTTCTTGTGATTTTGAGGGTTTAGTGTGCCTTGTTCATATATTGGCGGGGTTCGGCCAATATTGGTGGGGAGCGACATGAGGGCATCACCCATGGAAGCACCTACCGACCATCCCAGGCCGACAGAAGTGTGTGTAGGTATGCTCGCCTTCGATCTTTCGTGATGCAAGGTCGTGACTCTTGTAATGACTGTCCAAGGTTCCATGCCTGGTGCCAGAAAAATAGCCCATAAATAGCCCATGTGATTATGTGCAGGTAAGCAAGCCATCAACATCAGCGTTAGGGGGAGGTATTGGATACGAGATGGGCACATTGCGCATGCACCCCTGCGGGATCCATTCAGCGTTTCAGCAACCGGAAACACCGCGGTTATGGTTGTTGCTCCCGTATTACAAATCGCATAGCTTTCTATGGAAAAGCTTACGATAAAACAACAAAACTTGTTTCTTTAGCATGCGCTCGGGTGGGGTCAACTTGATCCCCCAAACGTTTTTTACCAAATAATTTTCGAACGGCGTGACGTAGCAGCCCCAATTTTTAGCCCATTACGGACCTGCGGGTTCAAAAGAAGCACCTGTTCTTATGAATGACGTCAGTTCAAATGAATGTTCATGATTGGCACAGCAGGCGGCAAGGGCCGGTTACCGCGAAGTGCATTGGTTGAGGTTTGAACCACTGCATCACTAAGACCAAATGATAATGTGTTTCTCAAAGTTAAAGTGCGCTTCGAAACGAGCCGCTGCGGTAAACGCAAAACGCCATCCCATCTCAAAACGGGAGGAATCAAGTAGTATGACGTTTCGGTGAATTCGTGAGCTCTCAGTTTTGAGGATGTTCAGAGTGCATCAAGGTTTCGTAGCATTTACTATATAAGCATCTTGACAAATTACTGTGCTTCAAACATTACAGAATACGCACTGGAAAAAGCAAGGCAAATGAAGTATGTTATTTCTATAGTGGTGAGCAGGGAGTCCAATGAGACTCCTTCCCCCAGACCAGCTTCTTCATATCAAAATTATTACCTATGCGGGATGTCGAGAATACTGATACCGATCTGAGAATACCGATCAAATTGGACGCATCTGATCTAATAATAATTGAATGCACAAAAAATGGCACACTCCCCTTAAGGAGGGCCGCGTATGTTATAGCTGTGATATGCCCTGAATGCGGGCTTCGATCGCAGCATGATGCTCCTGCATTCTCCTAGGTATTTTGAAATGGTCTCGGTGTGGCATTGACATGAGGAAGGCTTGCACGTGACGCGTGCTCATGATAAACACACAGCATTCTTTGCTGTTTGGAATTGGCCGCAGAGCATCCACGTATAACTGGGCTTAGAATAATATTCCGTTATCAGGTACATCAACGGACTACACTCTATCTCCAGTCCCGTCATTGCCGATCACCAGCATTGGGTGCAAATGTGAACGTGATTTAACGAAAATGTTGGCGTGGCTGATCTGTGTAATGTCACGTGAATTCATACATGCATGCCACAATCATTGGATGCCGCGCGGAGGTGTCAAGTTCACGTGAGCTAACAAACATGCCTCTTTTCATTAAGGGTGTAAACATTATGAAATAATTTTGGTCTTATTTGCACAGTCTACCAAAACGTGATTTGTGAAATATCTCACCCAGCCTGTGCCAACTTCACCAGTCGTAGCTCGACGCGTTGGAGACGCGGCGGTGCCCTCTTCGGAGCGAAACGCACGCCGGCGGACACGCCGAGGGCCACCACTCCACCCTCGCGCCCGATGGATCACAGATTCCATCAGCGGTCCCACCTCCGCTGGTCGATAGACACGTGTGCCCGGCCGCTCGGCCGGCACCGGTGACGGTTCAATTCCCGTGGACCCTCGGGGCACGGCGAGTGACACGTGCCATCCAGCGCCGGTTGGCTCCAAACCGGCACCACAGCCGCCTCGTCGAACCGGTACACTTGACATTGCAGGTGTGGTGACCACCGCCGCAGCCGTTCCGGCGCAGCATGTCAGGACGCTTGGAGATACACACACACAAACGTTGGTGCAGCATATGACTCAGCGACCAAAATAAGTGGAGCATTAACGTGGTAAACGCGTCCGCAGCATGCCTTCATATCTTTCCATTTTGAATGATCCCACACCACCACAGGCGCAATGCGGGCGATCTGGTTCTTGATGTGCCGGTTTTGTGGGTTAAGTTGGCCTCAGCTTCAACATTTGCATCATGTGAACCTAGCCGCGGAAGGCCTTTGCGAGGGGCGCGAACAGCAATTGGTGGTCCTAAATATTCCTATAGTCGGGCGTGATCTTCACCTAAGAAACTCACTCCAACTGGTTGCACAATGCTCGTCCAGATGGTGTTACTCAGCTGCTTGAAAATCAGCATTCTGTCCTTCATGGTTAACAAGTTATGCAAACAATTACCATAACGGGCCTATCAGCGCCATTGCTTCCGGTTAAGTTGAAAAAGCGGTTCATCTTCAACCAATCACATTTCATTATGAATGCTCTGCGCGTTTCAAAAAGTGGCAGAAACAAAAAAATCGGAGGATTTTCTATTTGTACCCACCCTTTCTCTCCACGGTTGACGCGCCGCGAGCAGGTCGCCTAACACACTCACATACTCCAGGCTACCATCAAAACAACCCCCGGGGACAAGGCAACGGACTCCCGGCTGTGTACGCATTGGGCCACCGCTGCGAGGAAAGTCAACGACGCGCTGACTTCGACGCCGCTGCACAAGCCAGCCCGAGGAGCCCGGCCGCGTGCCGGGTCGACGACCGACCGGGGTGAGTGATGCCGCCATCCGCAGACACTCGCGAGACGGTGCGAGCGGCAGCCGGGCCGGTGGCGCCTTTAGCCAAGCGCGTGCGGTCGATATATGCAGCAGGTCGCCGGCCGCGCCCCTATTGCGGGGATCCTGGCGCCGGCTGACGAGCTCCGGCACGAGCCGATTTCCGCCGGGGTCGTCGGCGCGTGCGTCCGCTTGTCGTCCGGTGTGCCACTTGATGCGTATGCCATGTGCCGATGAAGATCGGGCGGGTCTGGTCGATGGCCGCTTCAGATGGCGCAAGTTGAAGTGCACGCCAACTCGAGCGCGTAAAGCCGTGTACGTAAGGTACAGAGTACGGGCTGCTGAGGTATCATTCACGCTTACCGATTTCCAGACTCGGTGAGCGTGTCCCATTACCGGGGAAACCTGGATTTGAGCACTTCAGTCGAGCCTAGCAGATCCAATCTCCCGCGTCGATTGTTTTGCAAGATGCAAACAGCACGTGTGTCGCTGAGCATGGCGGTGTCACAAATATTGCTGGGGAAGCTGAATGAACGTATTTGGCTCATGGCCTATGTTCCTCCTGCTGATGTTCACAAGGTCCACGCACACTTGGGGTTGCGAGATCAAATCGCCTGCATCACATACGTCCCGGGACAAGTGTCGTTTCATCCGCGAACCGGGCCAGCTACCACTACAGAGTCGCCGCCGCACCACCTGAGTCTTTTCAACCATCGCGGCTTGCTCTGAAAGAGTCTAGTTCTCTATGCCATCCAGAATACATCGATGAAATAAGCACACCACTTTAAAACTTCAGGATGTAAAAACCTCGAGCTTAAGTCTCCCGCAGAGCGTGCTGGCTCCCCGCCAGGCGGCGTACCTACCTCGATCGGCTCGTCCACCAGCATCTCTTCACCCGGTCGTCCCTGTGAACAACCGCAGGCATGAGCTAACCGCACGGTCTTCGCCCCACGAGACACGGGCGCAACAGCGGGGACACCTAACTCAGGACCATGGGTATCAGTGTGCAGGACATGCACTTACATGTGCAGGCAGGGTGTTGCCCCCACCCCCTTTACATGTCACTCCATGGGAAAGAACTGCAGGCTGTTTGATCGCACCAATCGTGCCCCTGGACCATGCCTGACCAGTAATGGAAAATTGATGTAACTCATCCAGCCAAAAATCACTGGGGCCACAGTCAATGAGTTGAAGCCATTACCAGGTAAAGCTATCTTACAGGCATCATTTAAACACATATAGAATGGGATGCAATGCTTCTTAAGCAGTGCATAGATTTGCAAAGTGAAAGAAAGTGTCATGGTTGTTCTATGGAGGCAAACAAATATGTACCATATCATAGAGTGCAAATCACAATAGCTGTGAACATAAATGGCTTTCATGATGACATAAAAATAAATGTTTACCCTCAGGAGCAGATCTAGCCTGGAGTTGTTTTTTTTTTTGGGGGGGGGGGGCCAACCATTCGTCGCCAGCTGGCTGGTATGGGATCCAAGGTCCAGTGCATGGTGCCTCTCGTCAGTGCCTAGTAGGGACACCATTCAAGGACCGAAATGATATGGAATGGAAAGAAATGTTTGACACTGCACCATCCATGTTAAAACAGATGGTAAGTACAATAAACATTTATTTATGAAGTTCTGGGAATGTTTTGGGGGCCAAAGCATACTCTCAGAGTTCTTGGGGGGCCATTGCCCTGTGCCCCCCCCCCCCCCCCCCCAGGATCCGCCTATGTTTACCCCGCTGGACATCACAGAACCACCAGATGCACTTTTCCAGGGTACCAGGGTCAGACATGCATGTTAATGAAGGATGTGCATCTTCATGCCCCAAGTAAAGATTAGTTACTAAAAGTGGCAGTGGAGTCTTTTAAACATTTTGTTGTCATCTAAAATGACAAGAGCAATGTCATAATCATCACTTTACATCAGTGCATCACTTTACATCAGTGCTATTCTGCATCCTATGAAATACCTTCCTCTCAGCAAAAATATAAGGGAGCAATTTGAAGACCTCACTCAATGATTTTGGAAAATTAACTGTTAACAGAGCCTACATAGTGGATGTGAATGACCTAAGTGCAAAGGGTGGGATCTGGAGGAAGGAGACAACAAAACTGAGCCTTTAGAGAAACTGCTATTCACCCTTTGATACCTGGGGAAAATGCAAAATCAGCACATAGTACATGGAAAAAAAGATTTGAAAGAAACATTTGGTGTCCATGCTATTCATAAACTCTGCTATTGCTAGCTTAGCACCACACAGCAAGAAAAAATACAGGCTACAAACTTGCGCTGGAGCTGAAGGCAGCTGACTTATTCTGATGTACTTGAAGCAGTAGATATCTTATTGTAAATGGTTCGGCTATTACCACATGTAATCATTATGTTAATCAACACATTAAGATGTGCTGATGAGTACTCCTGATTCTGATGAGGATTTTTGGGGCGCTGTGTTACTTAAGTGTTTTGAGCCATACTGATAACATGAATGCAGTGTAGTTGCATCATTATCATTTGTGGTTGTGTCATTAACTTTTCATAGAATGGCAAACAGCATTAAATTCAACCTCTGAAAACAGAACGCATTGAGAACACTGATAAGGCCCCAACGCAGCACATCATAACATAATAGTAATGCATGCAAGAAGTCTGATTACACACATCTCACTAGTGTACAATTGTCACTAAGAGGTGTAGACTGTGATATCATGCATCTGCGATGCAGCTTGCAAAACGGCTTAACAAATTTGTGAACACAATGTCAGTGTTGAATGCAATAGTGTATGACCACATTAAGATGGCAATAGATCAGCAGCACAATGTAGCATTTAGTGATAACAAAGTCAACCAAGTATAAAAGGGGGAAGGAAAACAAACGGTAGATAGCTGTGTGCGTGACAGGGAGTGAATTCCCCCATGGGTATCTCGGACAACAAAAGACGCCGATTTCATGCTTCTACTAAGCCGAACTTACCTTTGCTTTCGACTGACCATCCTTCAGTTGAAGTTTTTTCCATGGGTCAGCAAATTGTGCGAGTGGCATGATTAGTTGCCGGTCTGCAGAGCGCCTTTCGCATATATCTATCGTAGAATCCCCTCTCACCCGACCCGCGCGTACGCACGACCGCTCCAGCTGACAGGATCTTGCCAGAAGTTGGTCCGTATTCACAATTTGTAGGTCACATGACCGTTGATAGTGAACAGCTGTTGCAACAACGCCACAGAGCGAGACCATATTAGTGGCGTATTTTACCCGGACATGTTGTCACATTATTCCATAAAACACTGTAAAATTAAAAACACAGCAAAATTTTACAACTTTTCCCATTTTTTTTCAAATCAATTGATACTTAAGTTACCCTATCAAACCAAACATGATGAGCCACGGAGGCAGTAGTAGTAGGATATTGTAGACACGGTTCACCAGCTGATAATATTGGTGAGGCCTCATCCAGCAGCAATGATGAAAGGTCCACCCTAAACAGCTCTGTGTACATCTTGCTGTGGGGTTTAATCCGAACTTAAAGGAAAACCAGAAAGCCAGCCTGAGCGTCTTCGAGCGAGGGCCCGGTGTCTTCAACGATCCCGTCTCATGAGATTAAGCCTCCCGCAGCTACCCTCATTCTACCGTCTCTAGGTCCGAATGGTTTCTGCAGCCATCGCCATTCCACTTCTACTCATGCTTATGTTGATTCTGGAGTGGCCTTGTAGTAATTTTTGCGCTCTAAACTTGAAGAGGCACAATGGTGCAGCCAATGAAGGGTAGGGGGGGGAGGGGGGTAGAACCATGCCTCGCCCTTGCCTCCCTCTGGAGGTCGTGGGGCCCCTTCGTTTATTTTTGGCATTTTAGGACACCCACCGGGCTCCTAAAATACAAAAACGGCCCTCAGTCATCAAAATAGGATCCTGGATCCTGAGACAAAAAAGTTACCGCGGATAGACAAATCATGGCCTTATTTCTATCAGACAGTTTTTCCACCGAAGATCGTCTTAAGAATTCTGGACCTTAGGATAGTTATTTGGTACGCCAAAAAATTCGCAAACGGCCTATTTCAACGTAAGAGAGGGTCCCTTCGGGACGAACACGCGACACAGAAAGAACTAGCGTCAGTCCAAAAGTCCTGACCTCATGGTCACCCTTCAAGGTCAAACGTGGGCTCAAAGGACGGGGAACCTCATATTACCCAAAACTTACCAGCCGATTTTTAACCTGCAGTCATCAGAATATTTACCACAGAAAGAACTAGCGTCCGTCAAAAAACCCTGACCTCTCAAGGTCACCCTTCAAGGTCAAACGCGGGCTCAAATGACGGGGAACTCCATATCACCCAAAAATTAGCGGCCGATTTTTAACTTAAAAAGATCGGAACATTTTCCACAGAAAGAGCTAGCGACCGTCAAAAAGTCCTGACCAATCAAGGTCACCCTTCAGGGTCAAACGTGGGTTCAACCGACGGGAAACTCTATATCACCCAAAGCTTACCGGCTGATTTTTAACTGAAGGATATCAAAATAATCACCAGAGAAAGAGCTAGTGTTCGTCAAAAAGCCCTGACCTCTAAGGATTACCCCTCAAGGTTAAACGCAGTCTCAAAGGACGGGAAACTCTAAATCACCTAAAAATGACCAGCCGATTTTAAACTCAAAGACATCAAGATTATTACCGGAGAAAGAGCTAGCGTCCGTCAAAAAGTCCTGACCTCTGAAGGTCACCCTTTAAAGTCAAACGCAGACTCAAAGGACGGGAAACTCCACATTGTCCAAAAATTACTGGACAATTTTGAACTAACAAGCATCAAAATACTTTCCACAGAAAGAGCTAGCGTCCGTCAAAAAGTCCTGACATATCAAGCTCGCCCTTAAAGGTCAAACGTGGGCTCAACCGACGGGGAACTCCATATCACCCAAAAATTACCGACTGATGTTAAACTTGCAAACATAGGAATGCTCACCACCAAAAGGACAAGCGTCCGTCAAAAAGTCATGACCTCTCAATGTCACTCTTTAAGGTGAAACACGGGCTTAAAAGACTCTATATCAACCAAAAAATACTGGCCTATATTTACCTTACCAATATCAAAACATTCACCACAGAAAGAGCTAGCGTCCGTCAAAATCTCCCGACCTCTCATGGTCACCCTTCAAGGTCAAAGGCGGGCTCAAACGACGGGAAACTTCATATCACCCATAAATAACCGGCCGATTTTTTACTTGTCAAGATGAAAACATTCACCATAGAAAGAGCTAGCGTCCGTCAAAAAGTCTTCACCTTGAAATATTCTGATGTTTGTAAGCCTACGATAAACCAATAATTGTTGGGTGATATGGAGTTCCCCGTCCTTCGAGCCCGCGTTTGGCCCTGAAGGGTGAGCTTCACAGGTCAGGACTTTATGACCGACGCTAGCTCTTTCTCTGGTGATTATTTTGATGTCTTAAAGTTCAAAATCGGCCGGTAATTTTTGGGTGATATGACGTTCCCCGTCCTTTGAGCCGACGTTTGACATTAAAGGGTGACCTTAAAAGGTCAGGGCTTTTTACCTTTTTTTCTTTTTTGACGGTAGCTCTCTCTCCGGTGATTAAATTGATGTCTTTGAGATAAAAATCGGCTGGTAATTTTTGGGTGATATGGAATTCCCGTACTTTGAGCCCGCGTTTGACATCGAAGGGTGGCCTTGATAGGTCAGCATTTTTTACGGACACTAGCTTTTGTAGTGATGAATATTTTGATGTTTGTGAGTTAAAAACGTCTGTTAATTTTTGGGTGATGTAGAGTTCCCCGTCATTTGAGCCATCGTTTGACACTGAAGGGTGACCTTGACAGGTCAGGACATTTTGACGAAAGCTGTCTCTTTCTGTGGTGAATGTTTTGATCTTTGTAAGTTAAAAGTCGGCGGGTAATTTTTGGGTGATATGAAGTTCCCCGTCATTTGAGCCCGCGTCTTACATTGAAGGGGGACCTTGAGTGGTCAGGAGTTTCTGACGGACGCTAGCTCTTTCTGTGATGAATGTTCTAATGTTTTTATGTCAAAAATCAGCCGGTAATTTTTGGATGTTATGGAGCTCCCCGTCGTTTGAGCCCGCGTTTCACCTTGAAGGGTGACCTTGAGAGGTCAGGAGTTTTAAACGGATGCTAGTTCTTCCTGTGTTGAATATTCTGACGCTTGCAAGTTTAAAATCGTCCGGTAATTTTTTGCTGATATCGTGTTCCCCGTCCTTTGACTCAGCTTTTGACCTTGAAGGTCACATAATATTGCAAAATAAGGGTAATTTTTGTGTTCTCATGCCACAATTGACCTTGAAGCCATTTTTTAAGGAACCGGAACCAGTCACTGAAAAAATCGCTGAAAAATCGTTAACTTCACGGACATCTGAAACAGTTCACGGACACCCACGAAACTTCAGCATTAAGAAGAGGATACTGAGAGCATGTTAATACGATCCATCCTCTTGTCTTTCGATCGTCAAAATGTGTCAGGAATTGGTGTTTTGTATCTGTAGAAACGTGTCAAATCCAATATGAGCATGTTCGTGAAATTAGCGATTTATTTAGCGATTTTTTTTAGCGACAAGTTACGATTTCCCTCAAATATGATTTCTAGGTCAATTGTAGCATGAAAACAGCAAAAATAATCATTATTTTGCAATATCGTTTGACCTTCAAGGTCAAAAGCTATGTCAAAGGACGGGGAACTCGATATGACCCTGAAATTATCGGCAGAATTTTAACTTGCGAACGCCAGAATACTTGCCACAGAATAAACTAGCGTCCGTCAAAAAGTTCTGACCTCTCAAAGTCACCCTTCAAAGTCAAAGGCGGACTCAAAAGATGAGGAACTCCATATTGTTTAAAAAATACTGGCCGATTTTTTACTTACAAACATTGAAATATTCACCACAAAAAACTGCCGTTTGTCAAAAAGTCCTGGCCTCTCAGAGTCACCCCCAAGGTCAAAAGCCGGTTCAAAAGACGCAGAACTCGATACTATACAAAGATTACCGGTCAGTTTTCAACTTGCAAATGTCAGAATATTTACCACAGAAAGAACTAGTCCAAAAACGTCCTGTTTCACGATATCGATCAGATCGGATCGCCCACTCAAAAAAAAGTTTGTTGAAACCATTAGTACTGGAGAAGACAGCACGGGTCCCTGCCTGATGGGAGTTTGGGTTTTGGGGTAGCTCCTGGAGCAGGGACATATTAAAATGAATATGAAGATGGATAGATATGATGATATTTTGTCGTGGTCCTTGATGAAACGAATAAATGCTAAGCTACAGCTTTTGGTTTGATTTCAACCGTTAATCTTCATATTTCTTGGTGTAACGAAAAAACATACCGCGAGTATTACTATGATGCCTATTTTGTTTCACATGTATTTGGTGACCGAATAAATTACAGGGTATGTGATTTGTGTGACTTTGACCTTCGACCTTGAGAGTTACTTTTGCAGCTGTGACGAAAGCGGACGTCAGGAGCATCACTTTGATAAGTTTTGCCATGTTTATTTGGTAAGAGTGTCCATTTTTTTTTTTTTTTTGTTATTCCTTTCGTGTCTTATTCCTTTGGTACCCGTCTTGTCTTATCCCGTTTATTTCTTCGTATTCCTTTGGACTTCAACTTTAATTAGTTTTTAGATGCGACGAAAGGGCTTTGACAAATGAATGAATGACAGAGATCAACATCATACCTAGCTTTTTACATTTCGTAGGTATACGAGTAAATGTCAAGGTTCCCAAGTTTTGACCTTTCATTGACCTGATAGAGTTCAAACTCAGTGAATTAGAGAACAGTCAGCTACATATTCATAAATAATTGAGTGGGCTTGAACTGAGAAGGCTGCTTTTGGAAACCTGAACTTTACAATGAATGCGAATGTGAACAGGACGCTAACTGCAGGTCCGCACTTTTCCGACACAACTCTGTCCTTTATCAGAGTGAGCCTCCGGAGAGGTCGTCAGCGGTGGTGTTGTTACCTGAGCCGTGCCGTGCATGACAGCATGACGTCATCAGTCAGGAGTGCTAGCGTTGCACCACGCACGATACCGCAGCCGGCCGTCCCGCAGGGAACGTGTCCTTGTGCGCGTCAGATTATGAGCTATGAATAACGAAGTTATATCAATGTGCTATAG